ACTGAAGTTTGAAGCTAGCCCAGGTAGGAAAGCCCATGAGACTTATCTCCAGTAAACTACTCAGAAAAAGTTGAAAGTAGTGTTGTAGCTCAAGTGGTAGAGCACTAGCCTTGAGGACCTAGGCCCTGAGTTCAAACCCCAGGACTTACAAAAAAAAAAAAAAAAAAAAAGCTTGCCAACACTCAAGGGAGGTAGATACGTATTATACCACTTTCACAGATGGAGAAACTGAGGCAGAAATTAATAAATCATGTTGAAGATATCATCATCATCTACAGCATGACTGAGAAAAGAATTTGCTGCACTCATGGATCACTGATGGCCTTTCCCACAACTTTTGATCCCACTAACAAAAGCAGACAGAACAGGGAAAGAAAATCATCCACAGTTTATCTAATCTAAGGCAGAGTGTGAATGTTACCTTATTGGTACCAGAGGCTGACTATTGCTATATTTTGCCAAGAATTCCCCTCAGACACACTGTCACAGACCTCTAAACCGAGTGGAAGCCATTGTGAGTACAGGTAGGGCTTAAAAAACAGGACTGGAAAGGAAGGAGAGAGAAGAGGAAATACAAACGGATACCAAAATGAGGAAAAACAAGAGGACAGGTCAGGAAGCAGCTCAACAAGAAAGGCAACTCATGGCAGAAATGAAGTGTCATTCATCTGGAAAGCTCAGACATTCAGAAAGGGGTAATTGTTGGCAATGACATTACAGAACCACTCCTCATAATTATCAGGTCCCTCTGACATTCCCAGGAGGCAGATTCATTCCTTTCCTCTGGTCCAGACCAAGTGCTGATGTAATTGACCTGACACTGCCGAGACTGTTGACAACCCTGAATATATTCTCTCATGTACTGCCTCTCTTCTTCTGCGCTTCCAGTTAATTCTATAACAAAACAAACTGAAAGTGCATTTTAAAATTCTCCCTGAATAAAAAAAGTCCTAAAAATTTCCTAAATCCTTGACACATTGGGTAGGGCCACATACTCTTGTTTGATTTTTGTAAAAGGGCCATGATAAGCCTCTAATGTGATTACTAGCTCTTTCCAGGCAATGCTCCTTTAGACACATCAGGCATTTAAAAACCAAAAGCAAAATTCAAAAATCCCTGTGAAATGTGTGGATACCACCTTTCTAGAGAAGAATGGAGCCCACAGGAACTTTTCTTTCTTCGAGTTGTTCTAAGAGATGGCAAATGAAGACAAACTAAGAGATGGTGATTGATGGGCCTCCAGGTGCAATCGTAGATATTGATGGCAAATGAATGGGATGATCAACAATCCAACAGGGAAGGGTTAGCATCAGATAAACAGAAAACACAGCACAGGCAGATGAAGAGGCATCAGGGTAGGAAAGAAGGGTTAAGTGGAGGTGCTGGCAATCAGAGCTAAGAGGGGGGCAATAGCATTAGTTTGTGCCTTGGCCTCTCCTAGGATGGTTCAGAGCCAGGAATACATCCATCCTTCCTTCCTTCCTGTCAGCAATGTCATCTTCTCAGAGATCTAGCTTTAAAACTTGAACCCCACCTCTCAAACAAAAGCCATCGACTGCTAAATCTTACCAGTTGCACTTTAGCAGTACCTTTCACATGGCTCTCATTTTTACTTCAACTTCTTCTAGGGCCTCCTATCATTTCAGCCTAACTAGGCCCAAACTATTATCTGAATCCCTGACCTGAGTCTTCTGTCCACTCAGTTTCATCTCCCTCTGGGTGCACAATACTGCTCCATTTGGAAATTCCCCACACACTTTCCTACATTGCCTCCCTCTGCTTCCTCAATCTCCACCTACTAAAGTACCAGTTCTAATTACTACTGCAAATACCAGCCTCTCCATGAGCCTTGTTTCGAGTGTAATCTTAGCTTTGATCTCAGCTACAAGTACACAGGAAGACACGCACGGATCAGTCCACAAGACCTACTTTCAAGCTTTACCTCCCTTCTTGGGCTGTGTCCATGACCTGGCATAGAGAATATGAACTTTATCTTATTTTTCTCTCTCTACTCCAAGACCTGCCTAAAAATGGTTATTGCATTTGCATCGCAGGTAACGAGAAGTTCAATAATGAAATTAATTGGAATGTACTATACCTGTTCATGAATGAGGATGCTTCAACAAAGTAGCTTGTAATGTTATTGGACTCTCAGGAGCAAACAAATCCATGTCCAAGTGCTGGTGGTTCACATCTGTATTAGTTACTCAGGAGCCTAAGATCTGAGAATCATGGTTCAAAGCCAGCACAGGCAGAAAAGCCCATGTGATTCATACATCCAATTAACCACCATAAAGCCAGAAGTAGAGATGTAGCTCAAGTGGTAGCATACCAGCCTTGAACTAAAAAGCCAAGCAACAGGGTGAGGCCATGCATTCAAGATCCAGTACTAGCAAGCTTGCACACACACACACACACATGCACCCACAGGCAAAATCCATGATACAGTTTCAAGGAAAAAGTGAGGGTATGCAGGTGGAGTTGTTTTGGAGCCAAAAGTCTCCAGATTGAGGTCTGCCTTGCCATGTACTAGTTCCATGTGTCATGATGATTCTTTTCTGGGCACTTTTTCTTACTGCTGAAGGATTTCACAGTAAGACTTCATACTTAATCTCAGCCAAAAGGACAAGAAGCAATAGTTGTTTCATTCTCTAAGGGGTGTACTTGATAAAAGTAAATGAAGAACAGAAATCCTTATAAAAGGATTGAGAAATGAGAGATTTGTGACCTCTATATAAAGTGGTTTTCAATCCAAATTATGTGTCATAATCACCTATAAAATACAGAGTACAAAAAACACAGAGTATTAGGCCCAAAAAGGTCAGCTGACCAAGAATCTTCCCCAGGTGAGATCTAGAAGGACTAATTATTTATAAAATACTGTCTCTAGTGAATAGCTAATGTTGCAGACTACCGTTATAAACTCATAAATAGGGCTGGGAAGGTGCTCAGTGGTAGAGTGCTTGCCTTGCATGCATGAGGCCCTGGGTTTGATTCCTCAGTACCACATAAAGCTGGAAGTGGCACTGTAGCTCAAGTGGTAAAGTGCTAGCCTTGAGCTGAAGAGCTCAGGGACAGTGCCCAGGCCCAGAGTTCAGGCCCCATGACTGGCAAAAACAAAAAACAAAATAAATTAATTAATTAAAAAAATAAACTCATAAGTATCATTAAGAATAGAGCAAGAAGCTTTAGGCTGCTGGCTTAATTATTTTTTATTTGTTCTGTTAGAAATTAGTTCAATGCTTTTATAGTGCAATTAAAATGTACTATTGTGTGTGAACATTTTTTGTTCTCCATTGCTGTTTGTGTGCTTAAGTTCCTAGAAGAAAATAACAAGCTTAGTGCTGTACATAAAGATGCTTCATCATCTTTGGATAAATCCTTAAACTCTGATTTTTTTGAGACTGATAAATAAAAAACATATAGGGGCCAGGTGCCGGTGGTCCATGCCTATAATCCTAGCTACTCAGGAGGCTGAGATCTGAGGATCGAGGTTCAAAGCCAGCCCGGGCAGGAAAGTCCATGAGACTCTAATCTCCAATAAACCATCAGAAAAACAGAAGTGGCGCTGTGGCTCAAGTGGTAGAGCGCTAGACTTGAACTGAAGAGCTGAAGGACAGCGCCCAGGCCCAGAGTTCAAGTCCCACAACCAAAAAACAAAAGACAAAAAAACCCATATAGGGTCCTTTATACCCTACTCAGAGCTTTGCTGACCACTCAAGCGATTCTAGTCTAACCTGAGAGCTGAATCTCAGGTCTTACTTCAGAATGTGTACAGGTAAGATTTCTACATGGATTTGAGGGGAAGCAAAGGCAACCTTTTCTCTGTTCACGTCAGTGTTTCAAGTCCTGTCTTCCACAAACCATTCTTCAGTAGGTGTCATTCTCTACATTTACTCTTAACCAAAAGGTCAAGAAGTAATAGATGTTTCCTTCTCTAGAGGGTGCATTTAATTACAACTAAATTAACAACAGAAAGGCTTATATCTTTAACTTCTAGTATCTCATTACAAGATGTGTCCAAAATCATTACCCAGTTCTTCTAAGATCTTTTAAATATGAGGTAGTATACAAAATAAATTGACATCCATTTCAGTTTTACACTGTGTGCAAACTGTGAGTCTGTGTGTACCTTACAGAACTTCTAATTCCCAGGACCCAAATTTCAAAATTATGAAGGAAGGAAGCTTAGTGACTTTGCTGGTGGCTTTCAGGCCGTCAGTGTTGGCAATACCCACCCAAGGTGTCATAACCTCTACCAAGTCAAGGATTTGAGGAGTTATCCAAGCTCACATAGTGACTGGGGCAGAGCCAGCTTAGAACTCAGACACTGCCTCCTCTTTTTACCTGTCTTCCCTAACTCAGGCTCTTCTACCTGGACTGACTCCCTTTTCCCTCTCACATAACCTTGAAACTGCTGATCTGCCTTGGCACATAAGTGTCACTTGGCTACTCCCAGCTATTGCTGTCAAGTCCCAGGATTGGTTTTTTTGGGTTTTTTTTTTTTGGTTGGTTGTGGGGCTTGAACTCAGGGCCTGTGCAATGTCCCTGAGCTCTTTTGCTCAAGGTTAGCGCTTTACTACTTTGAGCCACAGCTCCACTTCTGGTTTTCTGGCAGTTAACTGGAGATAAACATCTCAGACTTTCCTGTCCTGTCTGGCTTCGGATCTCAGCCTTCTGATCAGCTAGGACTACAGGCATGAGCCACTGGCACCCAGATACAGGAGACACTGAAGTACAGCTCAATCTCTATTTCTAACTATATTGCTAATGGATCCTTAAAGATCCCAGTGCTGACCCAGTATAATGGCAGTGACATGCATCACCCTTAGGTAGCGCCATGAGCTCAATAAGGGAAGGGCCTTTCCTAATGAGGCTATAGAAGAAAAACCAGGGCAATCACCAACTCACTAGTAAGAATTAGGCAGAAGGACTGAGGGTCGGCCAAATCAGGAGCTCAGTTGGGAAAGTGGCACCTTTTAAAAAACACATACACAGTGTGACTATAAAATTACAAGACTTTTCTTTAATAAAACAAATGTAACAGAAAGTAGAAATCTAAATGAACATTAAACCCTCAAAGTTATTACAGTCTTAGTTCCAACGAAACTACCATGGTTGGAGACCTTACTTGGAATTCCTCTTTGGGGGAAAAGGCCTTAAAAAGGCAGTTTTATAAGCTACTTTAGAAAATATCTTTCCAGAAAATCCACATTCTAGAGGATGGCCCTGATGAAGAGACGTAACAAGGGGTCACAGCTCTCTCGGAGATTCCCCAAAGGCCTCCAGCAAGTTTTGAGAGCCTCGGAGATTCCCCAAAGGCCTCCAGCAAGTTTTGAGAGCAATCAATGGAAAATGACTACTTAGAAAGAAAAAACAAAATCAGCCACACTCCTTTATAGTCACACTTGCATTTGATTAAAAAAAAAAAACAAAAAACCCTACAACACACTCGCACATGGTTCTTACATGAATTTTAACATTACATTCAGAATTATAGCACTCATAGTGATAATTTTCAGAAGACTCTAACAGCTTCTTTACCCTTTGAGGGGTACATAGGGTGCGGCTGTTCTACCTGAATGTATTCTTAAATAAGTGACTACTACCACTCTAAGTTTCCTAGTTGTAGCTCCGTTACAAGTTACTGACCGGAAGTTCATCTTCCAGACTTTCATTTCCAACACAGATTAATTACAAGGGAGTCACTCCCAAAAGTCTTAGGGTGAATTGGGAAAGGGCCGGTTAAATGAAGAAACAGGCCATTCCTTGGTAAAAGTTTGTAGCTTTCTTTCCCAATACATCTTCTTTTTATTGAGAACTTCCATTTTTATCCTGTGCTCCTCCTCTGCCATCTCACACTCCCGCTCTATCTGTTGGATTTTGGCCACATGCACCTCATTCATTTGTATCAGCTGCAGTTGTAAGATGGACATTTGTTGATGGTGTTCTTCCTCATGCATCTTTTTTAAAGCACCTTCCTGAGAGGCTTTGCTCCTGTAGTTTTTATTGGCTGTTATTCTGACAGCTGAACACGAGGGTTCAGGTTGAGAGGTCCCCTCACATACTGGAAAATGTATGAACTCTTTCTCATCATCGCACAGTTCTCTATTTGAAACAGCAAATGATTCTGAAAAACAGTAGCAGAAAAAAATATGTTCAAGGATTTTACAGGCAGTGAAAAGAAGTCAATCCTATTTCAAACCATAGGGCCCCTCATTGTAGGATGGATCTCAAATAATGTCGGTATTAATTAGCCAGTACCCTGGCCACCCCTTACTTAAACAACAACAACAAAAACCCCACAAACTCAAAAGCAACGGTCCCTTAAGAAATCATGATTAAGTATTTTATTATGCCATTTCTACAACGGAAAACTATGAGAACTATGATCAGAGAACTCATGTGCTTGAAGAGTCGGAGACCTTGCGAAATTGGTACAAATTTTAAGACTCTGAGGAGGAGACCACAGTATGAGGCCAACCCGTGGATCTCCAGATGAAGTCCTCAGACTGATCACCTTGCCAGTTCCTTACTCAGACGGGGACACTTCTGGCCAGTCTCTCCAGAAGCATTGTGCTGACTGTTGTTCACAGGTGTTACTCCTGATAGACGTAAGTGGTCCTTCTTGCAAGTGAGTCTGCATTCCTGGACTTCACTCTCTCCCATGACTCTTCAGCCACCTGTATGTGGGGGGTAACTCCCAGCACAGGTGGGGTCAATTGTTCAGATCCCAAGGACATCCGTTACTATTCCCCTAATTTCATCTCTCCCTGGCATTTTGTCAAACTTTGAAATTTCTTTCCTCCACAGGCTTCTGAGCCATCAATTTCTCCTAAGGATTTCCTGTCTGACGGATCCTCTTAAAGGTCTGGGAATCTTGCTCGGCCCACTTATTCTATTTTCCTACTCTGGAGGTTTCCATCTCTGACCTATGTCTCACAGTCTCAGTCTGATCTTCTTTTTTTGTTTTCACTTTAGTCTTCAAAATACCCTTTAGTCTTACCAAACACGGCTCATTCTTTAAAAAGATGCACATATTTTGGTAATCCTATGTCTCATTATCTCCTCAGCTTAAAGTTGGACTAGTCATTTGTCATCCCTCACTTCAGTCTCCATTTTCAACCTTCCCACTAACTCCTACATATTCAGGACCACTGCTGCTTGCTTTATTGCTTGTTCTCTATTACAGCACTCAACACATGTTAGTATTATTTGGGCATTTCTTAGTCATGGGTACAAATTACTTTTCTTAATACATGAGGATGGCTAGTAATACTGGATAAATCCTTGACTACAAAGGGTAAAAAGCATATAGATACAAAAGGATTCCACTTTTGTTACATGTCATGTTGGCATTGGCATTTTTACAGGGCTATGACATTAGTGTCAAATAGAGAATTTCAATAAGGAAAGCACTAACTACTAACCCATGGAGTCTTCTAGCTGTGACTCCAAGGCTTTCTTGAGACCCTTTCTATTTCAGATAATGAGAATCTTCTCCTCAGAGAAAAGTAATATCAATTTATTAGCCAAGTTGATTACATTATTATGTCCACTCCATTATTCTGGAAGATGGGATGCTGGGAATGTTAATGACTACTAGGGGAAACCTAATTTGTAATACTCTGTTACTAAAAGGAAATGGCTACTGTTTAGATCACTTCACTCCAAGGGGTAAGGTAACAACCATAACTAGTTCCTAATTAAGATCAAAGAAAAGGTTTAAATTTTCTTTTTGCTTTTGGAAGAGAAGGTTTATACCAAAAGAACAAAACTTCTGTATTATCTAGAGACAATGAAAATGTGTCCCTAGTACTCCCTACCAACTCTTAACAGCTCAGGCCTCAATCCAATGTTCGTCCTTCATGTTCTTACTGTCCCCTGGGCCCACCTCTGGCAGAGCACTTATTAAAAATCAGGTGGTTTAAATACGTCCTCCTTTTAGTCTTTGAATTCTCTGGAGACAAAGACCGCCCGTTACTCACTCTTATGAAGAATTCAGCAGAAAGCCTGGTACAGTGCTGGGTGATAGGAAATGAGAGTGGGGTCAACTGATTCCAGGGGTTCCCACCCCTGTCCATCTGGCACAATTATGGAGAGGACAGTGCTCTCTGATGGGTGAGCAAGGCAGAGAACAAAGGCAATGGGAAAGGGTTTCTACCGGGAACAGATGTGCCCTTGGATGGGAGCATCCACCACCGAGAGCATTACCTCACTCGTTTCCTTTCTAGTCTTACATCTGAAATGTTTTATCTGAAGCATGGACACATTAGATGCATTCTGATCCCTCTAACCTCTACTCTCAATGTGCTTTGATTTCATTCTAGGGTACACTTCTGGATACTCCTCGGGGTCTTTAAAGTCCATCCCTTAACAAGGCTGCTGTGTTACCAATTTCTAAAAGTTTGCTTTTATCTCAAATTCTAGGCTTGGCTGGGAAGGTGGCTCAGTGGTAGAGTGCTTTAGGGACATGGCAATGATGATGATGACGGCAACCATCTTTTTTCTGAGCAGCAAACCAGGTACTAGTACTTTACAACCTTTCCCTGTCTAGACCTTATAACAACTGTCTAAAGAGGTATTATTATAGAAAACATATAATATCCAAGGCTCTTTGGCTAGTTAAAAGAACCAGGATTTCAAACAAGGTCACTAGGATACCAAAATCCAAGCTTAACCAATCCAACTTAGCCTCTCATACCTGCTTAACTGATCCCATTGTATCCACAACAAAACTGTCTATTACGAAAAATATCAGTGTATATTCAGACTTTTTTTTTGTTGTCAGTCATGGGTCTTGAACTCTGGGCCTGGACGCTGTCCCTCAGCTCTTCAGCTTAAGGCGAGTGCTCTACCACTTGAGCCACAGTGCCACTTTCAGTTTTCTGGTGGCTAATTGGAGAGTCTCACGGACTTTTCTGCCTGGGTTGGCTTTGGACTGCAATCCTCAGATCTCAGCCTCCTGAGTAGCTAAGATTACAGGCATGTGCCACTGGCGCCCGGCATATTCAGACTTTTGATCTCTACATTTCTTTTCAAACCTGAGAACACTAAGATAGTATCTATGTCTGGGAACAAAGAAATAATTACTTTAAAAATTATTCCTTTTTAAATGTGTGTTAACATACTCATTTTAAAGAAAAAAAAATATCCTGCCCTCTTTTTTTTTTTTTGGTCAGTCATGGGGTTTGAACTCTGGGCCTGGGCACTGTCCCTCAGCTCTTCAGCTCAAGGCTAGTGCTCTACCACTTAAGCCATAGCACCACTTCCAGGTTTGTTTTTTTTCTGATGGTTTATAAGAGATAAGAGTCTCACGGACTTTGCTGCCTGGCTAGCTTTGAACCCTGATTCTCAGATCTCAGCCTCCTGAGTATCTAGGATTAAGGCATGAGCGCCCAGCACCCTACCCTCTTAAAAGACTGGCAATGAAGCTGGGAAGGTGGCTCAGTGGTAGAGTGCTTGCCTTGCATGCATGAGGCCCTGGGTTCGATTCCTCAGTACCACATAAGCAGAAAAAGCTGGAAGTGGTGCTGTGGCTCAAGTGGTAGAGCACTAGCCTTGAGCTGAAGAGCTGAGGGCCAGCGCTCAGGCCCAGAGTTCAGGTCCCATGACTGACAAAAAAAAAAAAAGTCTGGCAGAAGACAGGACTTAAAACTAGGAGGCTGGTAGAGTACCTAATTAATGTTCAAACAAATACTATCCCCCATGAATAGAAGCTAGGGCTCAGATAGGCAGATTATTCCCTTGGCTGGAATAGGACTAGGAACCTGCTGCAAACACACACCACATAATCTCTCTCACAAGTAAAACAAAGCCACTCCAAGGAGAAAGCAACTCAATTTTATACAAAAGAATAGAAGGCTTTCTTGGGACTGAGAACACAGCCCAGAGGGACTTCTTTCTCTTGCATGATTGGAGTAAATTTAGTATCAGCAGGAAAAGGATGGGTAGGAAACTGTGTGCAGGCCAATCTCTAGTCGTTCTCAATAGAACACAGAAAGGGCAAATGGAAAAATAAGAAAGTGGTGGATACATACCATGGTAGACAGCTCTTAAAACTATGGCTCTGAAAAAAGCAAAACAAGAGATATCTGCAGCACAATCTGTGTAAGTTAAAAACAAACGAACAAAAACAAGCCAGGTGCCGGTGGCTCACACTTGTAATTCTAGCTACTCAGGAGGCTGAGATCTGAGGATCAATGTTCAAAGCCAGCCCAGGCAAGAAAGTCTGTGAGACTCTATCTCCAATAAACCACCAGAAAACTGGAAGTGGTGCTGTGGCTCAGCTGGTAGAGTGCTAGCCTGGAGCTGAAGAGCTGAGGGACTGCGCAGGGCGCAGGCCCAGAATTCAAGACCCACGACCGGAAAAAAAAAAAAAAGGATATAAAACACACACTGTAAGAATACTGGATCACATTAGACTGTTTGGGTACAAGAGCATGAAAGTGGGAACTGGGAATTAAAAGGGAATGCACACCTGGGTGCTGGTGGCTCATACCTATAATCCTAGCTACTTGGGGTTGAGATCTGAGGATCATGGTTCAAAGCCAACCCCAGCAGGAAAGTCCCTGAGACTCTTTTTTTTTTTTTTGCTAGTCGTGGGGCCTGACCTCTGGGCCTGGGCACTGTCTCTCAGCTCTTCAGCTCAAGGCTAGCGCCCTACCACTTGAGCCACAGCACCGCTTCCGGCTTTTTCTGCTTATGTAGTGCTGAGGAATCGAACCCAGGGCTTCATGCATGCAAGGCAAGCACTCTACCACTGAGCCACCTTCCCAGCCTTCCCTGAGCCAACTTCCCAGCCCTCCCTGAGACTCTTATCTCCAATTAACCACCAGAAAACCGCAAGTGGTAGTGTGGCTCAAGTGGTAGACCGCTCACCTTGAGCTGAAGAGCGCAGAGACAGTGCTCAGGCCCAGAGTTCAAGCTCCACGACAGACCAAAAAAGAAAAGGGAATGCACACCTAACTAACATACAAAAGGGGCTTTTCATAGACTAATGATGCAGATGGGCCATAACTAGAGATATATTTCTCTGGACTGGAGTTCCTACCCCAAATGAATAAGAATGGATTACATAATGATAATAATGGCTTTGTATATGTATGTATGTATGCATGTGTGAGTGTG